GCAGTACTCAAGTGGAGCTCCTGTTGTTGTTTGGCTCAATTGTGTTTCTTCTTGTTGTTGGGCTGTAGCTGATTTTATGACAGGGGCCCGCCTCCTCAACACCCTGCCATTGACGTCCCGCATGCTGACACGTCTAGCGCCGGCTTTAGACCTGCCCTGACGATCCCCAGGCAGCGACCTAAACATAAATTATTATTCTACATTTTCATGGGTATGCATTTTATACCTAATGCCAGGTGTCAGTTTTTGTTCCACGGCAAGTATTCCTGCTACCCTCTGGGTATTGGTGCTATGAATACCCAGAAAGCATCCCACATTCGCAGAGGGCCGCGCCTGATAGAAGAAGTGACAAAAACTCCCACAGGGAGTTTTTCACCTTTTCCTTACTATTAAAATTATAATTTGGTTTACTTATAATATTGTTTCCTCATCCTTTGTCTATAAAATTGTTGTTTGAAAAACCTTTAAATATATTATCTTTAATTATTTCTTTCCCTTCCTTTAATTTATATATATATATATATATATATATTATATATATATATATATATATATATATTATATATATATATTATATATAAATTTTCAATATTGGGTTTGCAGCAATAAAAATGATACGTGTACTCTTTTAAATTTTTATTCCGAGCTTTCGGACATGGTTATGTCCTTCATCAGGGAGCTACAAATGTGATGAATAGTTTGTTACAAGTTTGTATAATTAATTAAAGATTCGCTACTTACAAACTTAATGAGGTTGGATCATCAATGATTTTCTACAATGTCGATAAAACTTATCACAGTCTGTCATATTTTTACATAAAACTTATTCCTATATTTAAAATTGATAAAGATTGCTTTACAATCACAAACACTTATTTATTATCCACACATTACTGACATTTTTATTCTTAATTTTATTATATCGTCATTAGTTTTTTCTCAAGACAATTTAGTGGTTTTTATTATTATTCATCATTAGATGTATTGTGGCAATATTAATTATTTTATATTTATTAATATCACAAGAAGTGAAACTTTAACTTGTCAATGTTTCAACACAAAATTTATTAATTAACCTAAAGAAATAGGTCATAATTCTAAAATATTACAATTGAATATGTCCGAAAGCTCGGAATAAAAATTTAAAAGAGTACACGTATCATTTTTATTGCTGCAAACCCAATATTGAAAATTTACTTCCTTGTTGTCAGCAAATACTTCTAGTTCATTATATATATATACAGATTGAACGAAATAAATTCGGAACATAGGAATATAATGTATTTCGGCTCAATTCTGCTGTAGGTGGTTGGCCAACAAAATATTGTCAAATATTTATATTATAAAAATCCAATACTTCAGTGGGCTGCTGGATTCTGAACTCATAAAAATTGAAAGCTACACATAAATCTACGATTTATGCTGTCAAACCAGTTATAGTCCAGGAAATGAAGCATTTCACCTCGCAATTATTTCGTGCTCCCTGGATTGACTTGAAATTTAACAGAGGGTAGGTAATAGCCTAAGGATCAAAATCTATATCGAACCAAAGTGCGCCAAAGCCTAGGGGGTGGTTGCCACCCCATCTCCGGGGTGAAATTTTTTTTACGTTTTAACTACAGGTTTCGATTAAAAAAGTGATTCTAAACAAAAAATGTGCTATACATTTTTTTTATAAAATGATATTTTTCAAGTTATTCGCGATTGAAAGTAATAATTTTTGGACGAAAAAATCCACGTTTTTAATCGATTTTTCGCGAATAATTCGAAAATGGTGCATTTTATCAAAAAAATTGTAGAGAACAAATTTGTAGCTTTTAAAAAGACAAATACAATTCATTTTTTAAAATGTTTTTGGGATATAACAGAACCGAAATACGGCCTATTAATGTTCAGCGGTTTTCTTCAAATGCCAAATTTGAAAGATTCAAAATCAAATATCGGGAAAATGATGCATTTTTGGAAGAAAACTCACAAAACCTTTTTTAAAGAGCATAAATAGACCTATCATAAAAAAGACTCTAGCTGAAAAATTGAGTGAGTTATGATGAAAATAAGGTCAATACCTCATTTTTTACGAAAAAATCGATGAAAACAACCCCCTAACCACCCCCATAATTAAAATCGATCTTCACCCTTCTGAAATTCCCTTTGTACATGTATTGTTAATATGTCCAAGAAGTTTGACCCATTTAAAATGCTTTGTGTTATAAAAAGTACAGCTTAAAGCGAGAAACGATTTACAATTTCATATTTTTTACCCTTCTTTTTTTAAATATGCCCGAAAATACTGAATATATAAAAAAAATACAAATTACCAAATTGTAGCTTTTTTAATGACTAAAATTATCCTTCATTTAGATTTGTTGTACAATGAATATTTGGCAAGATATAGCCGTTTAAAGCATCGATTTACGATCAAGCACCATCTTTTTCGATCCCTTTAAACTCACCCCATTTAAAAACCAAGGGTTCCAAAAAGATTTAATTCACAGATTCTTGTAGCTCTTAAAAACCTCTACAAATCGTTTTTGAAGAAACACTCTATCGTTAAAAATTAAAGGAAATACGTTAAAAAAAACCAGTGAATTTTTTTCCGGAAAATTTTATTAGTATAGTACAGTACATTTCGGAGCATAGTAATCTACAAAACCGGTATATTAGCTAGTGGGGCGTTATACATTCGAAATTTTAAGCGTTCTTATTTTGAAATCCCATACAACAGAATAAAACATCTGCTCATATGTCTATGGCTTGGCAATGAAAATATTAGAGCAACAGATTGGGGATGGTATTCCAAAGATGGTTTGTTATTACCCGTACGCATGAACAAACAACCTGCACTCGATGAACTTTTGAAAATTATTTTTTGGCAATGCAAAAAAGGATGCGGTGTTTCATGTGGGTGCAGAAAAGTTGGTTTATACTGTAACTCTACTTGTTCTGGGTGCTCAGGTGAAGGGTGCAATAATAGTCCACCAATAATTGAAGATGAGGATGACATAGATCACGATGAAGATGTAATTGATGACGAATAAAATTAATATTACAATTGTTTTACCTATAAATGTAAATATTTTCAACTATTTATGTAAATGTATAAGAATATATGGTGCCTTTTTATGTTGATAAATTTTTTTGTATTTAATTCTACTTTTTTCAATTTATATCTTATAAATTAGTTTATAAAAACTGCAATGTTGTAAAGGGTGATTTTCAAAAGTTGAAAAGTTGCAAAATTTTGGCAAAAAATTGTTTTCACCTATAGCACTCATAACAATTGATTTTTAAGGGTTGAAAATGTATGAATTTGTATTTTAAAGTATAAAAAAATCACTATTTAACTAATCCAAACCAAATTTCACTCATCTTAAGATTTATAATATTATTTTACAATTTTTGAAAATTAGAAGTAGTTTTCACCCCTAAGAACAATCAGGGTTCATCGGCATGACATAAACTATAAAGCAGAGGGTGAGTTGAGCTTAATTCCAAATTTTTATGCAAATCGTTCCAAGGTGAAATCATTTTCTCGCATTACTAATTTTTTTATATTAATCTCTAATAAGGGTCGCTTTTTAAGGGTTGAAATATGATGGAACTTTATTCAAAAGCACGAAACTATCATTATTTAATTAATTCAAACCAAATTTTACCCATATTCAGGTTTAATATGTTATTTTATAATTTTTGACAATTACGGGTAGTTTTCACCCCTTAGAACAATCAGGGTTCGTCGACATGACATAAACTATAAAGCAGCGGGTGAATTGAGCTTAAATCCAAATTTTTATCCAAATCGATCCAAGGCGAAATCATTTTTTTATAATTGGTAATTTTTTTACATTAATCTCTAACAAGGGTTGCTTTTTAAGGGTTGAAATATGATGGAACTCTATTCAAAAGTATAAAATAATCATTATTTAACTAATTCAAACCAAATCTTACCCATATTCAGGTTTAATATGTTATTTTATAATTTTTGACAATTAGGGGTAGTTTTCACCCCTAAAACCCTTCAGCGCACTTCGGTTCGATATAGATTTTGATCCTTGGGCTATCACCTACCTTTTGTTAAAATTTCAAATGGATACATGCAGGACGAAAAAATTGCGAGGTTTTAACTATTTTCGAGCTTTATTTCCTGAACTATAATCGTTTCCTTAGACAAACCCGTCTTATGCAAACAACATTGTTGTGAGACAGATAGTTGAACGATATTTTATACAATGTCTATACCTAGGTATGGATTTATTTTTGTCCGAGTTTTATATTGGTCCACTATTTCAAATGCAGTTCAAACACACATGTATTAAATTGTATGTTCCGTTTTAATTTGGTTCAATCTGTATATATATATATAATATATATATATATACATATATATATATATAATTAATAATATATATATATATATATAATATATATATATATATAAATAATATATATATATATTTGGCTAACATTAATATGTTTTCATTTTTTTTTAATTTTCATATAGAAATTTTTAATATGAAATTCGGGATACAAACCTTGACAATCATAAATTCTAGAGAAGTATAATATATTCAATCCATTTTTTAGGTTTTAATATATTTTTTACACGACATTTTGACGTTGAGTCATGAAATTTAATCTCTACCTTTCGCGTGTTAGAAACCCATTTCATTGTAACGTTTTAATTACAAATTTAATATTATGATATAAGTATAAAAATTAAAAAGATAAAAGAAGATGGTAAGCGTACATATAAATTTGTATTTGGTCTAATTTAAAAAATTAATTAGTTGCTATATACAATTTAACACTAGCTTTTCTTCGATTCTTTTAAGGGATCCTTTTTATGAGGTAAGAATAACCGAAGAAACAAGTGGTCATTTTTTTAGAAATTCTTAAAATTTTTAAATTTAAATCTTAGTTTTTTTGTCATAACTTTAAATGTGTAACCATAAAGCTTGTGTGGACCAACTGCGCAAATGGTGTTAAAAATATATACTTACAGGCAAAAGATCAAGTCCAGCCACGGTTCCTGGAGTTTGTGCTCTTGGTCGTGGAGATCCACTAGCAGAACTTGTTGTTTCACCTCCGCCCCCACCACCTCCAGGACCGCCACTTATTCCAGCTCTGCTTAAGGGAGAATCTGAAACAAGGAATTGTATTAACACATGTTATTAATAAATATATACTGTTCAACAAACTAAACTGGATATTGATTTACACAATGCCATATGTATACACCGTTAAATGGATATGGAATGTACGAAGATGAAAGGTGTCATAGAAAAAGCAACACACATTAAGTGGAAATTTGCAGACCATAACATCAGACAGAGGGACGATCTATAGAACAAACAAGTGCCGCACTGGAGACCCTTGAATTAAAACTGCTTAAAGAAATATTACAGATAAACTGGGCAGATGATTTTATGGTTTCAAAATTTAATTTGGTTGCCTACAGTCAAGAGAAAGATCGTTATAACCTCGTTCGTTTGTACACGTGTAGTGAATGAACGGTACCTTATGTATGGCTTCAATTTGAAGCAATATTTTTTATCGAAATAGTGAATTCATTAGCTGGTAAATATTTGTGGAGAAAGTAAGTATTTTTTATTGTATAAATATTTTTCTACATCGAATTTCACATTATTATCCAGCTTTATGATGTTATTTATTATCAAACCTTATACAGTTTCGTATGTGTTCCGTCTAAATTGGTATAAATCCGTAAAATTCATAAATGCGTTCAATCTTAGTTTAGTTTTACCGTTTTTAGAAAAATTTTCATTTGGTTTTTGTTTTCAGAATGGATCCGGGGAATTTTTATGGCTCATCTAAATACGTTAACTGTATTCCTAGTGATGGAGAACTATAGTTTATTTTTATGAACGAGAGAGTAATTAGCATAATTTTAACTGGTACCTGCGACCACTCCATGGCCGTGCTCAAGATTAATTGAAAAATTTCTTTGAATAATTGTAAAAAAATAAATGAATTATTTCAGTGTTATAAAGTGTTATGTGTATGTAAACAAAAGTGACCTCTTTTATCACACACTATATTAGAACTGACTGGCCTACATTAAAAAGGGTTTTAAAAAATTCACATTTTTTTTAATTTTTAAAAATTACAAAAGAGAAAAAGAGTTTTTTAAACCGTTTAAGGTATGTTAAATAGATGAATAAAAATATTAATATAAAACTTACAGCTACTTGTTACAAATCCAAATCAGATTCAGAAGATGAACTTTCAGAACCAAGATTTATAATAACTGGCTCGATCATTTTATCAGTAATATTGTCCAGCTTCCCACATTTTTTCTCTTCTTTAATAGTGTGATTTACTGGCCTTTTCCCAGTTTTCAGGTTTTTTACATTATTTACGGCCTCCAAAAACAACTATTAACATCATGAATTTTAAAAGTGGTATTTTTTCTTGAAACTTCACTCTTTATCTGTGCCCATACCAGTTCAATTGGGTTTTAATTCACAATGATATGGTGGGGGGCGATCTAAGTACTGTCATTCCACGATTTTTGGCAAGTTCATCAATTTCGTATTTTTAAATTTTTCTTTATGGAGGGCACACAACGAATAAAGTTCCTTTCTTATAGATCCGGGATGGTACGTAATATTTTTTGAACTCAGCCAATTCTGCAAGTCTTTTTTAAACCACTTGGGTTGTGGGCAGTCCTTCTATAAGTATGGAGTGATAACTTGCATTATCCATTACTATTACACGGTTCTTAGGAAGAAGATCTATCATTTGTTCGAACCATTCTTGAAAGACATCAGCGTTCATGTCTTCATGTAGTCACCGGTACGAGTTGATTCAAAAGTTAATAAAACCACCTTCCAACAAAACCGTCTGAACTGCCAACGTGTACTATTATCAGCCTGCGTCCCTTTCCTGATGGTGGGTTTTAAACCAGTAGATAAGTTATTTACAAAAGCGTGTCTTTGACTTGCAACAGTTCATCCTGCCAAAATTATTTGGTGTATGACCTCGTTGATCCAGTTTCATCAAGATAAAATATTTTTTCTTTTTTGGTTCTCATTTCCTTTATCGGTCTTAGAAAAGGTCTTCTCCATATAACAATATCGCTTCTTTCTAATAAAATAGACTTTCTGGATTCTTTTTTCAGCGGAAGCCTATTCTTTTAAAATTTCCATAACGTACTTCGACTCATTTCTGGTAATCCTTATCATCTCGAACTGAGACAAGAAACTTTATCCAATGTTGGAAATTCTTGTCTAAAGAAGAATTCATGCACTTTCCGTCGAAGTCCTTCTTTAAAATGATATTCTATTTGAAATTTTGGTTTCCCTGGAGCATTACGTGCATTTGAAATACTACCACATTTCTCTTCTTTAATAACTCTGTAAATTCGTAGATTTCCCATACACCAAGTGTACTGCTAACTTAACTCAACGGTCTCATCAACACTTTCACATAAACGTTTGTCTGTAAATGATTTAAAACAATTAAATATTAATGTTTTTTCTATTAACTGTTAAAGGACCAATTTTTCGGCGTTTACACGGCACTTCCAAATTTTCCATAACACTAGTATACACAATAAACTGCACCTTGCAACTGAAGTACCTACTTTTAGTGAACTGTTAAGAATTTTGAATACGCCACTTGGACCTTCCTACAAAATGGAAAAACCCACTATCACATTTTCTGTGGAATAAGTTTAGAAGGTAATTATCTAGTCAATTACTGTCGTAGATTCCTGGAATTAAAGAATTAAATGTTTGATTGTTGAAACCCTTACTTCGTGGAATGCACTCATTTCAGATAAAATAAAACGTTTTATTTTATCTAAAGAATTAAACTTTATTTTGCAAATAGGTAGGTACTTATTAAACTTTTATTGGTTATATATAACCAATAAAATAAACATCTTACATTTCTTGCAAATTCATTAGTACCTGTTAACCTCCATCACTCCGACACTGGCAACCTTATTTAGGGATTAGTAACCCTCACAACTATTGTATTCTACGATAATGAGTATATTTCAATGTCGTAAGTCCAGTCTGATGTGCACGGGGATAGCAATAAACAAAGGAATTTGGATGCAAAATTAGATATTTGCTCTGGTATAAATAGAATTGTCAACAAAAAAAAAGGTTACAAAAAAGATTACATTATTACCGAGGCTCGAAAGTCCCTTATAATAATCAAAAAGTGTTTTTGAATGAGATATTTAAAATTAAAAATCACACTAAATTTTCTCTTTTTTACCCCTGTAATTTATTAAAATAAACATTATAGAAGTTTTCAGGGACTTTCGGCCCTCGGTAATAATGGTAATAATGTATTCTTTCATTCTGCGTTTAAATTTTTCAAAAATATTTATTAGTTTTCTCAGGATTCGAAAAAAATGAATGCATTTAAAAAGCATTGTCTCGAAATTTTGCGCCTATGCTCTTAAAGCATTTTAATGAAAGTGATTATGCATTTAAAGGCGTTTGAGCTACCAGAATGTATCCTTGAGTTAGAAACTCCAGTAGATTTGTCCTTGCTTTTGTTTCCGAAATAATTAATATCCATTAATAAAGCCAGAATAACATAACCAAACCTGCCAAAATTACCGAAAACGAAATATTTATGTCATTGGTTGAATTATCATCATAGAGACTTTACAACATCTTCATTTTAGTAATAATAGTAACTCAGTGTCTGTTGGTAATCCAGGCCATGATAAACTGTTCAAAATTCGACCTCTATTAGACAAGATTAAACAACGCCTTTTACTGGTTCTCAAGGAGGAACATCTAGCTGTTGATGAACAAATTATTCCTACGAATTGCCGGCATCACCTCAAATAATATAATCCGGCAAAACCTCACAAATAGGAATACGAAACCAGTATTAATGGTATCAGGCTTTAGTTATGACTTTGATATTTTTGCTGATGAACAATGCAATACTTTTCCAAATGGAGCGCCTGATTTAGGAGTCAGTGGAAGTATTGTCACTAGACTGATAAAGACAGTGTCGAAAAACGTTAATCATAAAATATTTTTCGATCACTGGTTTAATAGTCAAAATTACAAATTTATCTTACAAAAAATGGATTGTTGCCTTTAGGTACAGTTCGATTAAATCGTGTTCCAAATTCAGGAATCTCATCCAAAAAATTACTAAAGAAAAAAGAACGTGGTTTTATTGTAGAAAATGTTGCCCTTGTTATAGACGTAAACATAAGTCTAATAACTTGGTTCGATAATAGGCCAGTAAATGTGTTATCAATTTACGTTGGTAGTGAACCTAAAACCACAAAACGTAGGTACTTCCGAAAAGAAAAAACGTACAAAGAGATTCCATATCCTCAATCTGTTGAAGCCTGTAACCAGCTAATGGGAGGAGTGGATTTATTAAACTCGATATTGCTGCTTTACAGATCAAGAAAATGATATAAACGAATTTTTTTCATATGTTGGATATATGTGTTGTGAACGCATGGATACCATGGCGTAGAAAAAATGAACACAGATGGGTTTTAGAAAGGGTCTAGGAACTAGAGAAGCATTATTCGAAGTCATTGTTCTGACACAACGATGTCTGGATATGAATCAGGACATATACGCTTGCTTCATAGATTTAAAAAGCTTTGACAAGTTAAATGACATTTTAAGTATTATTAAGACCAAAAACATAGATAGTAGAGATCTACAAATGTATATCGAATCTGTATCAAAATCATAAGCAAGAATAAGAGTCGAAGGAGAACTGACAGAGAAAGTAAGTATACTTAGAGGAGTTCGACAAGGTGCATACTTTCACCACTACTTATTCAACTTCTACAGTGTAGTGATATTTCAAGAAGCTTTATTGATTTTGTGGAAGGTATTTTGGTTAACGAAATAGCATTAATAATATTAGATATGCGGATGATACGGTCATATTTGCAAGTAGACATGAAGATCTATAGTACATAATACAACATGTATACAATGCATGTGAAAGGTACGGACAGCCAATGAATCTCAAGAAAACAAAATCAATGATATTCTCAAAAAAAAACCCACAAAATGTAAATGACTTAATCATCAATAATACCACGATCTAGAAAGTAACAACATATACATATTTAGGAATGTGGCTAACCGAAGATGGAGATAAAAACAAACAAAATCAGATCTAGAATAGAAATGGCAAGAAACACGTTCATAAAATTGAAGAACTTACTTTGCAACCGAGACCTTAATCTAGAGATCCGCACAAGAATGCTACGTTGTTAGTTTTTTCTACTTTACTTTACGGCATGGAAGCGTGGACAATAAAACAGTCTGAAATCAAAAATTAAACTCCTATGATATGTGGTACTACAGGAGAATTCACAGAATATCGTGGACTGAATAAAGTAACTAATATAGATGGGTGGTACAAAAAATGAAGAAAGAATGTGAAGTCATCAAAACTGTTAAAATTAAGAAAGATCCGATAGGAGAAGGAACCTGAAGAAAGAAGAAGTACCATATTGTATAGATTGTAGCTGTCATTCTACTTATGGAAATATTTTTTTTATATCAAACTTACACATATAAACTTTTATGGATCCAAGGCACAAAGATAACAACTATCAATAGGGGATATCCAAAAATGTGATAACACTTAGAACACTTTTACCGTCCGCGATTGAAAACTTCGTTGTTAACTATTTTCCGGTTCGATTTTCATTTTCGTGTGTTAAAAACATCTGACTAACGAAACATAAGTATTGGCTAATAAAGTAATAGCGGTTTATCAAAAACATGCAAATTCCATTACTTACAATTAAGTGTTTGTTATTGTTGAATGTAACCTTCTTAATAAAAAATATGCTAACAGGAAAAATAGTCGAATTTATTACAATAAACTAATGCGAATGTCATCAATAGTATCAATATTTACCGTGTTTAACATTTTTATTTGTAATTTGGAAATGCAGTACAATTTTATCTGCCGTACTGTTTTACCATTTATCTTTTTCTTATTCTTTCTGTGTGTCACTGTTATAGCTCAACTTGCCTGTTTGTACTTCAGGTTTTTAGCCTAATAACGATGGTTACCTAAGTCATCGTTATTTCGATTTGAGTTCCTATTGCCTCCTTTTTTCTGAACCTTATACACACTCAGATCAAACTTTTGATTAAAAACAAAAAAAAAAAGACGTCTATATTTAGTTAGAATAATCCACAGACCCTCCATTGGTTATGATTCTGCTCTTACCCAACAGGTTTTTGACATATATCTGGAAGTATGACATTTTCTTCTCTTGTAGTGGTCATTAGGATACATGATACATGGGCTATTTGGAAAAGATATTCCTGCCAATGCTACAGTACAGTGCACTAGCTCTAATGTACATGTTGTAGACAATTTTAATTTCTAAACCATGGTGATCATCTACTCCTAGTGTATGAGCATCTAAAGATTATCACTCAAATTAAAATGGGCTTTACTTAGAACGAGAAGAATTTTTAAAAATTATCTCGTATCGAAATTGTTTTCTTAAATTTTCTTTTCGGTGATTCTGGTATATTCCTAACTATAATAATAATGTAGTATATGCCCTGTATCTGAACTTACAAACGCCCAAGAAAGTTTTATAAGCAGCAGCATGCTAATATTCTCGAGAAGTAGAGTGTTGTAACTCATGTTCAAACTTTCGAACAACTTCTAATGGAGTTCCTAGCTTCGTAACTGCCAATAACGAATTTCTAATTTTATGATCTTATAAAATTGCCTACGTTTCTAGTTGGTTTTCGAATGCAATTAGTTCATCCGTTAATCTCATGTTATGTATATGTTATGGCAAACCCCGAAATTGGGTAAAGCTAGTTTTAACCGGATACTTGTATCCGGGAGTATTGTGGAAATTGGCTGGATAAATGACAAAGAAGATTGATACTTTATCATTTTACCAGGTCAATCTAAATATATAACATGTGAAATGATAAAGCATACAATTTTAAACTTTGGTATAAAATAAAACTACTGTTAAAATTTATTAATAAAACGTTGAGTATAACGTTTTCTTTTCTCTTGGCAATCGGGCTCAAGTGCCCATCCAGCCAGCAGCAAAATGTGTAATACGTTCACTTAATAACCTAATCTAACTAAACTAAATAGCACTCATCATGATACTAGATTTTTCCGTTGCATCTGATTCTTGCTCTGCTATCATGGTCACGATTCTTTTGAGGTCGTCGGTCATCGCGTTGGGGGTCTTCCTCGGCTTCGCTTGTCAGCCCGTGCTCTCCACTCAAGCAATTTTTTTTGTCCAACTGTCGTCTTTCATTCTTGACAACATGTCTGCCCATCTCCATTTTTGCCTTGTAATATGTTCGATAATGTCTTCCACTCCGGTTCGTCTACGGACTTCCTCGTTTCTTATTCTAAGAGAAGAGAAGACGTAAATAACCTAAACGAAGATATAGTAGATACATTAACACAAGGCTCAGGAAAAATTTGGCCCTAAAACATGGAAAAGAACAAAAAATTAGTAAAGAATACGAAACAAAAATGGAAGATCAGGTTGTAGAATGCTGAGAAGTCAAGGAAATGTTGTCTCACAAGATATAAACAGCATCAATAAAGAAATCTCTAAAGCCATCAGATCGGGATATTAGAAAATACAACACGAGAAAATTTATAAAAATATGGAAGACAACAAAAGCATGAAAGCATCGAGGAGAAAAAATGGATAATGGACAAAAAAGAAATCTTCAACTTAAATACAAAAATGGAAATAATTATCTCAGATAGACCAAGATATTTACATTATAGTGGAAAGTTTCTATGAAAACAATTATATAAAAGTCATGTTATTCAAGGCTCATCGAACAACCATACAAAAGGTACATAATGTAGGATCAGAGGATATACCAGATATATTACGAGAGGAAATCAACATGCCCTCAAAAAATATGAAAAATAATATAGCTCGGGGGAACATGGTGTAGTCATTGAGACATTAAACTATGGAGGTCCACTTTTGATGTCCCGAATCCAAATACTTTTTAATCTATGTCTGCGTAGTGAAAACATTCCAAGTAAATGGAAGAATTCGGTTACGATCCTCGTTCACAAAAAAGGGATAAATTAGATCTCGAAATCTTAGGCCAATCAGTTTGCTTAACCACCTATAACAAGCTCTTTACTCGAATACTGGACAAACAGTTATAAGCAAAACTCGATTTCTATCAATCAGAAGAACAGGCAGATTTCGAGCGGGACACGGAACAAACGACCATTTGCAATGCTGAAAACTTAGTTGAAAAGTCTATCGATATAACAACCTTCCGTTATAGAATTCCACAAAGCATTTGACACAGTCGAAACAGTTGCTATCTTAAATGCACTATCAGAATGCAGAATAGATCACAGGTATGCCAATATTATTCGAAATATATACGAAAATGAGAAGATAAAAAGATAATTTTTTGATAAGATAAAAATTGCAGAGGTGCGGCAGGGAGATACCTTGTCGCCAAACTATTATAACAGTTATGGAGTACGCATTTTAAACGGCTAGAGTGGAATCAAAGGGTATTAGCATCGATGGAAAGATATTCAATCATCTCAGATATGCCGATAATATTGTTCTCATAACAGACAACTTAGAGAAGCCAGAGCATGCTAAACACAACTACAGCAAGTAACCAGAAAGTCGGGTTAAAGATAAACTATGGAAAAACAAAAATGATGACCAACCTCGTCCCCAATGAGCTAAATAGAAATCGAAAAGTCGCCATAGAACTTGTGGAAAAATATGGTATATTTGGTCACGAAATAAGGTTAACGCGAGATAACCAAACATGCGAGCTTCTCAGAAGAATAAGTCTGGTTGGGCTGCATTCGGAAAAATGCGAGACGCATTTAAAACAAACATTATTACCGATCAATTTAAAAAGAAAAGCTTTTAAACCAGTGCGTTTTACCAGTCCTCACATACGGAGCAGAACTACTCTCACAAAAACATCAGCGAAAATTGAGAAGGACACAAAACGAAAGATGGAGAGATCAATGCTTGGAATAAGCTTAAGAGAATAAGAAATACACTACAATTCTGGAAATTAAAAGAACTACAATGGAAAAGAAGAGACTAGGTTATTTTTGCACCTAGGGGTCTGACTCACAGACAGTATATTATATAGGTAAAAATGTATAGGTTAAAAAGGAAAATACTTGGCGATTCAACAAGGTAACCAGCTTAACACCTACACTAAAGTTTTTAAGTTACACATTTTAATAAACTTAAGAATAATTTATATACTTGTACATATTTATTGATATCA